CCCGGTTCTACATTCTCCCCCAAAATATTTGGTGCTTTTAGCAGATATACTGAGGCTACTATTACTTTAGCTTTACCCTGTATGTCACAACTTAACTGTACAGTCAGATATCACGAGCACACAGGTGCACCAGCAGAAGAGCTTTAAGGTGACTATAGGAACACAAATTCTTAAGTACATGTTCTAGGTTTTTCTTGTCGTATATCAAAATAACGGTTTTGTGCCGCCAAGACCAGAAACCTTTGATTTAACAACCCAAGGTTCTTGAATGAGGGCAATGTCCTGCTTTACAGTGAAGTGTCTGCCTAAGGTCTATGGCTAGGATCAGACTCCATATTCACAAACTCCTCAAAATTTGAAGTAAGCTCGGGTGAACTGGCCACAAATTGCCTCAACTGTGATGCTTAACCGTAGCTTCTTGCATTTGCCCCTGTAGCAGCTGCTAGTGCTGTTGTGGTGATTGTACTTCAGGTTCGGAAGGTTTTTTTTTGGAGCTGTGGAAGCACCTCCATGGCTTGAGAAGTAATGGAACGATTTTTTGAGGGTATTATTTGCGCTCGAGATATAACTGCCCTGCTCCCTTTTTTGGGCTTCTCGCTTTGAACTTGCCAGCGCTCCTGAGGGTACCGTTTGATTTTTCAGCTTCGTTTGGATTATACCCAGCAGCCTATGAGTTTTTTGAACCGCTTACAAAGGGCTCTACAAAGATTTACTTGTGGGGTGGGCCCTTCACAGCATTGTTTAGTTCACTTGTCTCCCCTGAGGCTTTGTTATCCAAGAATTAGGAGTCTTCAGGGAGAGAGGGATGTGGTAACACTGTCTAAACTAGTGGTCTTCGTCAGAGGCCAATAAGGCCCTCTCGATGTCGGAAAATCCTCGGTCAGTAATGGTTGGAGGTAGCGAGTCCTCCGTTACAGCTAGAGTGGTTTTTATATTAAGTCCAATACAACGCTCCCACGAGTATTAGGCTTTTCCACGGTCCCTGGCAGCTTCCCCTTGCAATCAGAAGGCTACTTGAAATTGAGAGGCGCCCAGTACCCAGAATTCACTGTCCAATGACCAAGTTCCCCCTTGGCCAGGTAGTCCTCTCGGCGTCAGCTCTTCCACCCTGACTTGGATTTGGTTCGCCATACTGTCATTCGGTAATCTCATCAGAGTTCCGTTAGGAGCATTGAGATCGTTACCAGGGGGGGCACCACTAGGAGGTTGACAGACGGCTAGTCAGGTATCGCTAAAAACTGAGGAAAGTTTTCGTGGTCGAGACCAACGATATCGTGCTTTTTGCTCTAAGTTACTGGAAGCATCATGACTGCTTCTTCCAGAACTTACGTCACTTTCCCCTGACCTTTACCCCCCAAAATACTCGCATTACAAAAGGAAAATTCAACTTTTTAAGGGAGCACGTTTTGAGGGAGAGCCTCAAGGACGTAGCACTGGGAGTCACAGCGCACGAACATCTTATGATTATTATTAAGTAATTAATCCACGATCTTCCCATTCATAAAAATATTGGGGAGATCGTAGATTTATTTATTAATAATTTTATCCCAAACGAGAGCAACGAATCTTCTCATCAAAATATCCATGAAAATATCTTATGGTAATTGTAGGAACAGTGAGCCATCCCCTCTAACGTACGAAAATGTTATGCTAGGTGTAGGGAAAGGAACGCTGAATTTTCATTTCCTGGGTAGGTATCCCAGACACCCTCCCCTTCTGCATTCTCCCCCAAAATATTTAACGGTTTTAGCACTTACACCGTAACGTTTAAGAAAGGACCACGAGCCATAACACCGCAAGTCTGTGGGGGTATGGGTAGGGAAAGGTCTTTTATATTAAAGTGTCATGGGTGCCCTTAGGACTGAATGTTTTTAAACAAGAACGCAGTACCGGGAGTCACAAAAATGCACAAAAATCTAACGATTGATGTACTGAATTTGTTTCAGGAGGGTGGGGGGTTCCTTACGCCCGGGTGTCACGGGAATATGGGAAAGTTCCACATTTCACGATTTAGGACAACTTTCGTTTGTTTGGGTCGTATTTTGGTTCCATGAAATTGCTTTGTTTACGTTTTGGATTAAATGACACGGACATTCGCCTACGTATATGATGGATGTATGTATACCAAGCAGAGAAGTTACTTTCGCCATTTCCGTGTGAAAACGTTTTGCATAGCAACCGTTTTTAGATCTTGGGAAGTAAATTTGCCATCGTTTTAGAATTCCGAGAATTACTAGTAAACAGAAAGCCGGATGCATTTGATTGGACCATTTTTTGAAACGGGCGAATCGTAGCGAGTCTTGCAGCTGTGACGTCATGATCACTATCTTCGTCACGTGATCAACTATGTCGCTGCTGTCGTTCCAAGCGTGTTGTATTTTTTCGGTTTGCTGCTAATTTACGAAGTGCGATATTAAAATAAACTTAAAAAAGGTCAAATAAAAGACGGGAACAATTCTGGAACATAGTTCGTTTCGGTTCATCATACGTAAATCGGTGTTTAAACGTAATATTAAACTACAAAAAGTTATAGCGTCCCTTCTCCTTTTCGTACGAATTTAAATCGGCGTTTGCGTGTAGGATCTCGAGACGCGAGCACGTAAATTTTGATTTTGTTGTTAAATTCAACGCTTAAAGTAACAAAAACCGGCGGGGAAGTGTTCGCAAATCGGTCTTTTCGATGTCGTGTTAAATGTTATCGGGAGAACAAGAAGATGGCGTTCTATTTTAAATTCGTTTGTTTGGGTTTAAAACTTAACGTTTTGTGTATCTTTTTCGTGTTTGGAATCAAGACGCCTAAGATTTCATTGATATGTTGATGTGGGGTAAGTTTGTAGACCTTTAAAAGGTTCGTGGTAACGGTTACGATAATGCTTACGTTCACCAGACGAAGTGCTTCATTAGCGCTACCTAAAGACGGGTGTTTGATAGCACTGTCGAGGTCTACACATCACTGTGAGTCGACTTACGGTGGTATTTACACCTCGACACAGCAACTCGTGAGAAAAACCTTGCTAGAGTATTTAGCTGTCTTTGGGTAGCGCTTCGTCTGGTGAACGTAAGCACCTGCTTGCGACTTGTATCGACGGTTTATAATAAAACAACTTGCTGCGGTATATTTAGTTTCCGATTTATTTATCAGGCACGATAGGGCTCTTGTTATTTTGCTACCCTTCATATTAACCCGTTGAAGTAGGTTATGTTAGCTGCGTTCAATTCAACATTTAATGCCGAGAAATGATCACTGACTTGCAGAACATTCATACTACGATTATGACGATTTAATTGTATATCCTGGTACTTCCGGGAAGAGTGTCAATTCTGCGTTACTTCGTTAAACTTCATTCTGTGCGCTAGACCTACGTTTCTTAGCTGTACAAACAGTTCCACTGCATCAGTTTGACGAAACCTTTACCCGTAGCAAGGCCACCTACACAATTCCAATTTCAAATCGTAAATTTCAAATTAAAACGAACCTTACCAACTTTACCACTTCCATTTGGCTTGCTGCCAAGGATTGGGAACCGATCTTCACTGTAAATACCCTCGTTGTTGACATCTCTTCTCTGACACCTGCCATCTTTACGAACAAGGATAGCTAGTCATAAGCAAACCAAGTAAAAAGGCACTCTCGTTGTAAACATTTTACAAAATGCGACAGGCACAGGGAGGGCCCTTATCGGGTACCAGGATTCGCATCCCAATTCGTTCAGCCATTGCGGCACTTCTTCCACAATCTCTCTTGATTTCCTTATCACTTGCATTTCAACAGGTGATTGTTTTCAAAGTAAACTCAAGAATCAGATTAAGGGTACGGTCGAAAATTTACTCTACTCTACAATTTACGTGCATTTGGAGCATTGCAATTGAAGTAACTCGGTTTAAAATTATATTTTACTACAAATGCTTACAGTAAAATTTTATTTTTAACCAATCTTTAGCTCAACATCAGGATCATGAGCAAATTCTAACCTCGCATTTGTTTGTTTACTTTATAAACAGCCCATGAATGATTATACTATTGAGGTGTGAAATTTTGTTTACTGTTATTCCGAAATGGGGGCCATTAATGAATTTATTGTTCTGCATAACGTTATCCAAAATATATTAGAAAGCAGTAGCTCCGATGATGAAGAGTTTATTGCAGTAACAAATTTGCGTAGAAGGAAAGTTCCCTTAGTCATGGATGCAGCATTATTTAGTGTCAGTCGCATTGTTTATGTTTACTACAACCTTTACTCAGTTTACTCAGCTTTTACCACCAAATTGGTAGAAGCAACATGAGCATTTTGCAGTAAATCTCATGCATGCGTATTGATTGTTGCAAGATTTTAAAGAAGCATTCGCAGTAAATGTCAGCAATTTTATAACCGCCACAAAATTACTTTCGGTAAAAACAGTAACTGGAGTAAATTTTGGACCGTACCCTAAGTGTGACTTATTAATTGATAAAATATGTTCTGGGCTGTAAAGAAGAAGATATTATGATACTGATATTGCCTAAAGATATGCCATTATATTTCCAAAAGGCACTCGAATAGGTTGGTCTCTCTTATGTTCAAAACTTGTTTTTATACGAGGCATGTATTTCGAGTTGGCAATTTTCGGCGCTAGGACTCGAAAAAATCACGGCTATTGGAACGAGTTCTATTCAATAAAATTTTCCTAAATTAAGCGAAATAATAAGCCAGACCACTGTGAACGCGTTTTGAAATCGGTCACGTGCCATGACGTCATGTCTTATCATCACGTGACCTGGTAGTTCGTTGCAGTCGCTTGCGCGGTGTACACGCGTACCTACCTAGTTTTTCTACGTTTTCTTTGAAATTATGAACGGTTGTAATAAAATAAATCCCGCAAAAGTAAAATTAAGCACGCGGAAAATTGTGGCACGTCGCTAGTTTCGGTCGATCGTTAAATAAATCGGTGTTTTTAACCGTTTAAAGATTTGAATCAAGATGGCGTCCCCTTTGAATTTGAACTCGCGATTGCGTGTTGTTTCGATGTTCCTTGCATTCGGTTTTTCAAATTACGAATTGTTTGCGATATATTAAAAATCAACTCTTAAAAGTTATAAACCGACCTCGGAAAAGCACATCGTTCGTTTCGGAGCTTATAAGTTGTTAGTTAAACAAATTTAGTGGAAGTAGAAACTGAAGTCGCATTTTTCAATTGCGTGGCCTCTTTTTCGATCAAGACGCCTAACATTCCATGGATACATTGACTTGGGGTAAGTTTTTAAATCTTTCATGGCCATTTTGTAGTGACAAATTTAAGCGGAGCTTAGCTTAAAACCATCGTCGCAATAATCGTTGCCATGGATTTTAAGTCCTACTTAAATTTGTCAGTACAAACAGTCATTACAGTTGCATCATGCTTGTTATATCGTATCGATAGGGTTAGTTTCGAAATGCTACGTAGGTACCATTGGGCTTATTAGTATTATGATGCCTTATGACACGTTTAAAACGATTGATTGATTTATTTACGTTTCATTTTCGTATGCATGCATGATAGGTACAACATAGGGTGGCCGATCGATCTATGCACAACTTTCTATGGATTTATAATCAGGTTACCCTTCGCTTAATCAAATCAATCAAGTCGTGCACTTTTGGGATATGAGGTAGATCGAGAGGTAGATGTTTATTATTGACCTCGTTATTGACCTACATAATTACCTGTTGTAGATGAAAGGGATGATTCTCATCGCCGTTTAAGACGTTGAAACGATCACAGCTTTGTCGTAGAATGTGCTGCCATTCCATTCGAATCCAATTTATCCGATGATAAGAGTTGATACTCCAAAAGCACATTTACTTTACTTCGCCTGTTACTTAAATTGTAGGACAAATTCCTTGGCGGGGGGGTAGGTACTAGGCAGGACCAGCCTGAAGTTACATTCGCTTTTTTTTTTAAGGACATTCGCTTTTGGGGTAGTACCAACCTAAACGGGAAAACAAAAAATAACTAGGACCGGGCTGAAGTTACATTCGTTTTTTTTTTTGTTTTTTTTTTATCAATGGCCATCGAAAGTGATGGCACCGGGACCAATTCTCATCCCCTTTTCGGAAAATAGCCCTAAACCCCCGACAAATTCGTCCCCGAAGTTGACAAATTCCGCAAGTGTGTGAGTGAGTGAGTTTTGCACGCGGAGGATAAGGACGCCGTGGAGGCCCAAGGGCCCACCTAAATCCCCCTACCTGTAGTTTTTCGAAAAGTGCCCCACAGTTCGAGAAATTCCCTTTTGTTTGGTCAATGGCGCGGTATACGAATAATGCAAGTTGCAATTCAAAATCGATTTATTAAAATTGAGTGAGTTTTGCACGCGGAGGATAAGTACACCGTGGAGGCCCAAGGGCCCACCTAAAACCCCCTACCTGTAGTTTTTCGAAAAGTGCCCCACAGTTCGAGAAATTCCCTTTTGTTTGGTCAATGGCGCGGTATACGAATAATGCAAGATGCAATTCAAAATTGATTTATTAAAATTGAGTGAGTTTTGCACGCGGAGGATAAGGACGCCGTGGAGGCCCAAGGGCCCACCTAAAACCCTCTACCTGTAGTTTTTCGAAAAGTGCCCCACAGTTCGAAAAATTCCCTTTTGTTTGGTCAATGGCGCGGTATACGAATAATGCAAGTTGCAATTCAAAATTGATTTATTAAAATTGAGTGAGTTTTGCACGCGGAGGATAAGGACGCCGTGGAGGCCCAAGGGCCCACCTAAAACCCCCTACCTGTAGTTTTTCGAAAAGTGCCCCACAGTTCGAGAAATTCCCTTTTGTTTGGTCAATGGCGCGGTATACGAATAATGCAAGTTGCAATTCAAAATTGATTTATTAAAATTGAGCGAGTTTTGCACGCGGAGGATAAGTACACCGTGGAGGCCCAAGGGCCCACCTAAAACCCTCTACCTATCGTTTCATACGATCAGCGGTTCTTATTATCTTAGAAATGTAGATTTGTGGCCCTGAAAAGGGCCGTTTTTTATCAGCAGAACGCCGGCCGGCTAATCCTTTATGGCACGTCTTATCTCGCGTTCCATGGCGCGCAACCCTAATACGTTGGGATGGATTCCGTCCGTGTCAAACCAATGGATGCCTGGCCGATGGAAGATTCGGTTTAGGTCAGCAAGTACTAGACCTTGTTTTTCAGCTAGAGCTGTAACAGCTTTGTTGATGGCGGCAACGTTGTGGTCACTTCTGGTTGTGCGTCTATTGGGTGGAATTGTGCACAAGACGATTCTTACGGACGGTTTCATCCGCTTGAAGTCCCGGATCAGCCACTTCAGCGTTCTTCTAAATTTCGGTTCGTGGAACTCCTTCCTCGCTGCGTCATTGGTCCCTATCATAATGACAGCGGTGTTCACGTCGCTGGGGATACTCCACACGCTTCCTTTTGCAGCTGAAGAACTCAAACGGCGCCTTAATTGATCAATTGTCTGCCCACCTACACACAATTCCGCACACCACTTTCCTTCTTCATTTTTGAAAGAGTTGATCTCACTCACTTTGCAGAGCATCCTTCGCAATATGCTGTCCCCCAGGTGAAACGTCATGATCAACTATCTCTCATCAACTGTTTCCAACGACTGGTTGTAGGTCCAAAATAAATTAATTTGCGATATAATGACAGAGTCAGGGTCATTAGGTAATGGTGTCAATTATTATTTCAAGTACCGTACCTACTTAATTACTGATATGGAAATTACACATTCCAATTGTTTATGCAGTTTTGCATTTGAGCTTAATTGGTGTATATTCATTAAAGGTATCATTAGCGGAAACAATACTAATGCTCTCATTACTTTCCTATTTATCTGCATAATATCTACATATTCGAAAATAAAGGTAGATTTATTTATAATAGGTAGGTACTTGAAATAATAATTGACACCATTACCTAATGACCCTGTCATTATATCTCAAATTAATTTATTTTGGACCTACAACCAGTCGTTGGAAACAGTTGATGAGAGATAGTTGATCATGACGTTTCACCTGGGGGACAGCATATTGCGAAGGATGCTCTGCAAAGTGAGTGAGATCAACTCTTTCAAAAATGAAGAAGGAAAGTGGTGTGCGGAATTGTGTGTAGGTGGGCAGACAATTGATCAATTAAGGCGCCGTTTGAGTTCTTCAGCTGCAAAAGGAAGCGTGTGGAGTATCCCCAGCGACGTGAACACCGCTGTCATTATGATAGGGACCAATGACGCAGCGAGGAAGGAGTTCCACGAACCGAAATTTAGAAGAACGCTGAAGTGGCTGATCCGGGACTTCAAGCGGATGAAACCGTCCGTAAGAATCGTCTTGTGCACAATTCCACCCAATAGACGCACAACCAGAAGTGACCACAACGTTGCCGCCATCAACAAAGCTGTTACAGCTCTAGCTGAAAAACAAGGTCTAGTACTTGCTGACCTAAACCGAATCTTCCATCGGCCAGGCATCCATTGGTTTGACACGGACGGAATCCATCCCGACGTATTAGGGTTGCGCGCCATGGAACGCGAGATAAGACGTGCCATAAAGGATTAGGCGGCCGGCGTTCTGCTGATAAAAAACGGCCCTTTTCAGGGCCACAAATCTACATTTCTAAGATAATAAGAACCGCTGATCGTATGAAACGATAGGTAGAGGGTTTTAGGTGGGCCCTTGGGCCTCCACGGTGTACTTATCCTCCGCGTGCAAAACTCGCTCAATTTTAATAAATCAATTTTGAATTGAAACTTGCATTATTCGTATACCGCGCCATTGACCAAACAAAAGGGAATTTCTCGAACTGTGGGGCACTTTTCGAAAAACTACAGGTAGAGGGTTTTAGGTGGCCCCTTGGGCCTCCACGGCATCCTTATCCTCCTCGTGCAAAACTCACTCAATTTTAAGAAATCAATTTTGAATTGCAACTTGCATTATTCGTATACCGCGCCATTGACCAAACAAAAGGGAATTTCTCGAACTGTGGGGCACTTTTCGAAAAACTACAGGTAGGGGGTTTTAGGTGGGCCCTTGGGCCTCCACGGTGTACTTATCCTCCGCGTGCAAAACTCGCTCAATTTTAATAAATCAATTTTGAATTGCAACTTGCATTATTCGTATACCGCGCCATTGACCAAACAAAAGGGAATTTCTCGAACTGTGGGGCACTTTTCGAAAAACTACAGGTAGGGGGTTTTAGGTGGGCCCTTGGGCCTCCACGGTGTACTTATCCTCCGCGTGCAAAACTCGCTCAATTTTAATAAATCAATTTTGAATTGAAACTTGCATTATTCGTATACCGCGCCATTGACCAAACAGAAGGGAATTTCTCGAACTGTGGGGCACTTTTCGAAAAACTACAGGTAGGGGGTTTTAGGTGGGCCCTTGGGCCTCCACGGCGTCCTTATCCTCCGCGTGCAAAACTCACTCAATTTTAATAAATCAATTTTGAATTGCAACTTGCATTATTCGTATACCGCGCCATTGACCAAACAAAAGGGAATTTCTCGAACTGTGGGGCACTTTCGAAAAACTACAGGTAGAGGGTTTTAGGTGGCCCCTTGGGCCTCCACGGCGCCTTATCCTCCGCGTGCAAAACTCACTCAATTTTAATAAATCAATTTTGAATTGCAACTTGCATTATTCGTATACCGCGCCATTGACCAAACAAAAGGGAATTTCTCGAACTGTGGGGCACTTTTCGAAAAACTACAGGTAGGGGGTTTTAGGTGGGCCCTTGGGCCTCCACGGTGTACTTATCCTCCGCGTGCAAAACTCACTCAATTTTAATAAATCAATTTTGAATTGCAACTTGCATTATTCGTATACCGCGCCATTGACCAAACAAAAGGGAATTTCTCGAACTGTGGGGCACTTTTCGAAAAACTACAGGTAGGGGGTTTTAGGTGGGCCCTTGGGCCTCCACGGCGTCCTTATCCTCCTCGTGCAAAACTCACTCAATTTTAATAAATCAATTTTGAATTGCAACTTGCATTATTCGTATACCGCGCCATTGACCAAACAAAAGGGAATTTCTCGAACTGTGGGGCACTTTTCGAAAAACTACAGGTAGGGGGTTTTAGGTGGGCCCTTGGGCCTCCACGGCGTCCTTATCCTCCGCGTGCAAAACTCACTCAATTTTAATAAATCAATTTTGAATTGCAACTTGCATTATTCGTATACCGCGCCATTGACCAAACAAAAGGGAATTTCTCGAACTGTGGGGCACTTTTCGAAAAACTACAGGTACGGGGGGTTAAGTGGGCCCTTGGGCCTCCACGGCGTCCTTATCCTCCGCGTGCAAAACTCACTCACTCACACACTTGCGGAATTTGTCAACTTCGGGGACGAATTTGTCGGGGGTTTAGGGCTATTTTCCGAAAAGGGGATGAGAATTGGTCCCGGTGCCATCACTTTCGATGGCCATTGATAAAAAAAAAAAAAAACAAAAAAAAACGAATGTAACTTCAGCCCGGTCCTAGTTATTTTTTGTTTTCTCGTTTAGGTTGGTACTACCCCAAAAGCGAATGTCCTTAAAAAAAAAAGCGAATGTAACTTCAGGCTGGTCAAGAAAAGCATATAAATGCCTTGTTTTCGCAAATTAGTAAGAACCATCATACCAACTACACCAAGTTATCGACATTTGTTTCAAACCCAAAACTAGTCCCAGTTTTCCATAAAGCAACACAGTTTTTGGACAATGTAGCATTATGTGACACTGTTGGAAACTATACTTACGGCAACATATTAACTGCAGCGAATGAATTATCAAAACGAATATCGCAGAAACTGGGCAACAAACGAAATTGTCAAGTGGTTTTCCTTTGTCCAAACGATGCCTCGTACCTCATCACGAAATGGGCCATTTGGATGTCCGGACATGTCGGTTTGTAAATACATTTTGCGGGCCTCCAATTTATTATTAAAATTTTAGCCGTGCCCGTCAGCAGCTTACATCCCCAAAGTATGATCGAGTATTTCGCTAGTGATAGTGAAAGTAAATTATTAATTACGATACCGCAATATTCTGAACTAATGCATACAGTAGCCACTAATACCAAAACCACATTGATGGTTTTGGATAATAATTTTAGGGAAAGTATGGTTGTAAAACAAAATTTGAAACAGGACCTGGGAGAATTGCAATCAAGAGATGTTTTAAATGATAATGCTTTAATTATTTATACAAGTGGGACAACTGGATATCCTAAAGGTAGGTATATTGATATATTTTTTTTGTGGTTATTTGTTTGATAAAGGCTTCAGTGTACTTGTAAATATTTGTTACTTGTCAAGAGTAATGTAGCTACATGTTGTTTGTATGCTATTTAGTAGGTCAATATCAAACTGCTGTAAGACGTATCTGACTCGTTTAGTCTGAACTCTGAAAGGATATTTTAAATCGATTTAAATTGGTGAGTACTTAATAGTCATAAAATAATGAAAAAATTAAAATCAAAACTGTTTTATAAAAAATTCCATCAGGGAAGATTTTTAAAAAGATGTCCTACAATTACTATAAGGTTTCCAAGAAGAATCTATCTAAGAAGTTTTCCAAAAATAAAGGTAAGACCAGACAACTGCAACAAGTTGATGGATATTCGGTAACATACACAAACGTTGTGCGGCTAATAAGATTTTATTGACTGTTGCTCGCTTGTATCTGTGTTTTCCAACTTCAGTCGAAAACATTGCTTGGTGTGAACATTGTTGTGTACATTTTCCTCGATATTTTCGATGCCATAATGTTTTTACCATATTACTTCACGTACTTTCGTTTAATTTGCTTTTTCGTTGTTATTAATTATTGATTAACCGGCAGAGCAAAGCGATCCCAGCTTAGGAGAGTCGATGGTGTTCATCAGTCTGCCTGTGAACACTATAACTGGTATACATTTGAACTGATTCGGCTCAAATTTTGCACAGTTGACTTATATATGTCACATGTAAGAAACTTATTGAAAATGGGTCAAATCTCCTATAGCTAGTTCTAATTTAGTTTATTTACTAGATTGTTACCAATGTTCCTTAGTATGGGAATCTCCATAACTTCGATTTTAACAGCCAATAAAAGCAGAAATTAATTGTCTTAACATTTTTACCGGCTGCCATTTTATTTATAATGTATAAACAAATTGGGTGCACAACTTTGAATAAATAACTAAATAGTTTTTTAACGTTAACTTTCCACTACAAATATAGAGCAACGAAATGTTTTGTACCTTGGACCACACCACTTTTGTGGTAATAAATCTAGTTAAGCGCGACGTGTGGACTGCAGCTCTTGTGTCTTAGCAATACGAGAAGGCATTTTCTGCTTAATATGTGGGTCTGTTTGTATGATAATCAACTTCAACTTTAGTCGTTCTTGCATTCTCGCACCTGCACTTTTCCATGTGAAAGTATATTAATAGTAGGCGATGCCGGATCAGAGCAATGCCATTATGATGTTCTTTAGGTACATGTAATTTATCATTTTACGAATTGTTTTGTTTAAATTGAGGCGTAGATGTGTTTTTGTGCTAAACAGAAGTATTAGCGGAATAATATAATTACATCCCCCCCCCCCTCTCTCTCTCTTATAATTACCTAGTGACACAGAAAGTAACAAAAAAGTAGCACAAAAGATATGTTTCACTAACTTAAAAATAAGACACACAGTCACAGTGTTAGAACTATCGCGAATAATTATAAACGTTTAATTATAATTTCCTTTCTAAAATTTGCATTTAATTTTCAGGTGTGGTTTTAACCCATAATAACATTACCAATCAAATAGAAACATTAGTGGATGCTTGGAGATGGACAAGCAACGACGCAATTCTACACGTACTACCTCTTCACCACATACACGGACTTGTGAATGCGCTTTTGTGCCCTCTATATGTCGGCGCAAAATGTGTGATGCTGCCAAAGTTTGATGCCAATGACGTTTGGGTGCACTTGCTAGGCATTAAAACGAAACCTGAATCTCCGAAAATATCTGTTTTTATGGCAGTGCCAACAGTTTACATGAAATTAGTTGAAGAGTATAAAGCGAGTTTTGAACATGATCCCAAAATACACGAATATATTAAAACAAATTTAAGATCAAAAATTCGTTTGATGGTCAGTGGTTCGGCGCCATTGCCAGTTCCTTTATATGAAAAGTGGTTGGAGATAACTGGGCATAGATTGTTAGAACGATATGGTATGTCCGAGATTGGTATGTGCCTTTCTCAACTGTATGACTCTCAACGAGAACCAGGTTATGTGGGTGTCCCATTAAAAGGTTGCAGTGTCAGATTAACTGAGCGAGATGATGATGACAACTATAAAACCCTGCTTGAATGTACTGGTGTGAATGATAATGTTAAGGTGCGTTTAAATACCATCCCAGTTGGTGATGCTGTGGTTGGAGAACTTCATGTTTGTGGTAACTCTGTGTTCAAAGAATACTACAACAAACCTGATGTCACACGTAAAGAGTTTACGGATGATCATTGGTTTAAAACTGGCGATACATGTCAATACTCTATAGAAAAAAAAATATTCAAGATACTGGGCAGAACCAATTTAGACGTCATCAAAACTGGCGGGTATAAACTTAGCGCCCTGGAAATCGAAACAAAGATTCTAAGTCATCCAAATGTTGTTGACTGTGCAGTTGTTGGCGTACCAGATAAAACCTGGGGCCAAATAGTAGCAGCTCTAGTGGTATTTGATCGTGATCTACCTATTGATACCTTACAAACATTTCTAAAACATAAAATGGCTTCCTATGGTATACCAAAGATTTTCAAAGTTGTGAAGGTGATTCCTAAGAACATTATGGGAAAAGTTAATAAGACTGAATTATTGTCAGCCTTTCTGGCTAAGGAGGAGAAGGTGTGTGCCAAGAACTAGTTTATAATGTACTTATTCTAAATATATTTTAATATTCTAATTGTTTTATTTTTAATTTTATTTTAAAGTGGATGGAGGGTTTCAGTGTAAGTTATCTTAACCCACCCTCCCAGAGGGAACTTCAATGTCGCACCCTGGCTTCGTGCCAGGGGCTTCCTTGGTGGGACAACTTCATACTTATTTCAGTATTTTGTGTGAAGTTAGTTGAGATAAATGGTATTAGACGTACTTTATACTGGTTTGTATGGATAATTTTTATAATTTAAACATATATTGGTTTATATGTATTTGTGAGTCTAATTCCGTTACCTGGGGTATGGGAATTTCTGGTAAAAAACCGGAATTTGATTTTTACTTGGCAAGAATTATTGGATTGTTAGGCGGTGATTTTCCACCTGATATAATAAGGGGTAAAAATAATCAAAAGTTTGGTCGTCCGACCTGTTTTCTCTGAACAGTATGAGGCTGCTTTATCTGAGTGTGTAGGTCTTGCCGTGGATTTCCCTTAACTCCACTGGATATTAAAGAAATCGTTAAAAGAGCTATAGACAGCAGGGGGGTGGTGGAAAAACCATTTGACAACAATAACCCAAGGCGGAGATGGGTAAAAAAGTTTTGAGAAAGCCAAATAGACAGCCTTTTAAAGTGTTACAATATTAAAAGAGCAAGGGCGGCTGTTACTCCAGAACTTATATTAATGGTTATTTTAATGAGCAATCCCTGAAAGACGTACCACCTGAAATGCTGATCAACTACGATGAAAAAGTATGCAGGATGACCCAGGAAAGAATAAAGAAATAGTTAAAAAAAGGGTAAACATGTAAAAATCGCTGGTTGGATTGAAGGTTGGTTCTTTTCTGTTGCAAGAAATTGGGTCCTAAGGCTATTATAGAGGTGACAACCTCGCAAGCCACATTTCCCTTAATCATAAGGCTGTGTGTAAGGAAAACAACATACAGTTTATACTATTGCCTCCGAATAGTATATGCCAGTCGCACCTTTTATCAGAACGTTCAGCAACTGCACAATCTTATCCATTAGAGTTTCAGTTTGGAAGAGTTCCTGAAAAGATATAGGTAGGTACAAGAGAAACACAAACAGTCAGAAGAAGAAAAAAGGTGCCCACAATTCTCGGAAGAAACCTAACTGAGATGAGTGTAGTGGATGTTCTACAAGAAAATGAAGCTACAATTCAGTTTGTTGACATCCTATGGTCCTTCTGAAATGTGCCAAGTAAATAAAGAACGAAACAAAAGGAACGGAAAGATACTTGGTCTGATACATTGGGTGCAAGCGAGGATTTTTCTATCCATGATTCGTCCTGTGAAAATCTCCAAGACTATGCAGCTACCCCCAAATAAATTTACCAAGTGAAGAAGGTATGCCACCGATTGAGCAAACTGAAGTTAATTTAGACGAGAACACAGAAGAAATCTTGAACTGAAGGGCAGTAGACATCGTTATTGTTTTACTTACGTACGACCAATGAACGAAGAAAGAATTGCAGAAACGCTTCGTAGGACAAATAAAGAAAAATTAGTCCAAGTGAATACATGTAGTTATGTTTATGCGGAAATACAAAGGCATGAAAGACACCTTTATATTCCCCTGATATCCCCAATGAAGAATGTTTCGCAGAAGATAATGCCGACAAAAATTGCAAAAGAACGTTACACGTTCGCCCTAATGTATTCAAAATGAGTGCATATGTTAGAGACTGCAATTTGAAGATTTATTATTTATACGTGTTATTTACCTTAAAGCAAAAAATACTTAATTATCCTACTAGTAACGTAAAGCCGTGACAATTACAGGTGACACTGTCCTAACAGTATAATTAATAATTATAGCACGGAGTGTACCGCGTCGTTTTGGAGGCTTTCCATTGGAATTTAGCTCCAATATGGCGACCGGAACCAATGACCAATCAAAAACGAGATACCCTGTTGTCGCCACTGTCTCTATAGTCACTGTCGTTATAATTATTGACTTTATACTAAAGTGTATGATGTGTTGCCTATCACTTAAGGCGAAACAAACCATAGGATATTTTTAGTAGCTATGTTAGTAGGTATAATCAAAGAGTAGTACCATTGAATATCCGAGTTGGATATTCATTGGTAGTACTCTTTGGTATAATGTTACCATTGATGAGCGTAATATCATAATTCAATGGTAATATCTTTGTAAATGAATAAACAAAGGTTGTATCATTGTATATTTAATATACAAATGGTAATATCTAGTTAATCTGCAAATGATCTAGTAAAGTCCCTTCAAGTGCGAAAAATGGTTTTGCTTGCAGATTAGCTATTATAGCTATTTTATAGATGCACTAGAGATTACAGATACTTACAGATTAACAACAAAAAATGGTTCTTTGGTTAAATAAAACATTAGAGTTGATTGCTAAAATTAGGTAACTTTAATTTGGTAATTGGTATAAGTACTTAGTAAAATCAACTCAGTAGTAACACATCTTGTTTAAATTGTGAATATATAGATAGTTACATTTTTGAAACAAACTTATTAAATTAGGTTATTATAACATTTTTAGAACTTTACTGCAATGTACCTATTGTACCTTACATGAATCACACGTGTTTGTATTGCTCTTGTCAATATATTTTCGCACTTTAACAATTTAGAATATGTTAATAATGTGCATATTAATTATACGTCATATAGTTTAATAGTTATCACAAGTTAAATCTTTTTTTAAAATTTGTCTGCTATTCCACTGCACAACAGTATTAATTTGTTAAATATAGTTATGAGTGGGTAATGTGGAAGAGCAGATCAGGCGTGTCTGTATCTGAACATCGCCCAATTTTGTTGCCCTCTACTTATTATACTGTAATTGTGTTAATTTTTTGTTTTAGTTGACGAGTTAACTAAATAAAACCATTATTATTATTATTAATCCACAGATTTCCTACTAATTTAAACGAAATTTCGCACTTTAACATATCAGAAATTCAGAACCGTAAGTACCTACGTTAATCTGCAGATTAATCCGTCAATGTGCCAAACATTAGCGGTAACATAGATACAATTTGCTTCAGTATTGCGAGTCAAACGTCAAAAGTCTGCACGTCCGGCCGACTGTCCGTCAGTCCGTACGTCTGTTCGCACGATATACCTACAGCCCAAATGTTGTATGCTGTGTAGGGTCAAACGCATTCCAGCGCTTCTTTTGTTGCTTTGCAGTTTATTTAGAATTTTCCTTTGTTCGAAAATCTGGTTCTTTATTTATTCTATATTTATGAAAGCAATCAAAGGAAAGAGATTGTATGTATTTTTCTAATTACATAATTTTCAGAGATATTTCGAGAACAGGAATTTTGTCCAATTGCAATGTGTAGGTATACATAAATTGTATGTGTTGCTTATACATACCTATATCTAATTGGTTAGGGATGAAAACGGCGATTAATATAAAAAACAAATAATTAACTTTGTTTTGAGAGTATATATTTCCCTGTGTACTTGCATAGCATAGTGTAAGGTACATTTGTAAGTACCTATTTTTTTGTAGTTCCAATTATACCTACATCACTAATTAGTGCATAAGCAGTTAATCACTTTGTGGGTAAACAAGTTACGGTACCTACTGCTGCACTCTCGGAAATGACTGAAGTGTATTCAAATTTTAGGGATAATTAAAATTCTTTCTCATTTTATTACCTAAATGCGGTATGGCGGTGTATGAGCCCGCGCACAAGTTGTATTTTTCCCGCTAAAAATATGCGCTAAGTACGAAATTGGTATCTTTAATTTATAGATATTTTACCTTATCAAAACGTTTTACCTACCAAGATTATCTACAGTGGTTTTAGAATCAAATTTAATCCTAATCTAATCAGTAAATGATCCTTTTACGATTTGCATATTTACAAGTTAATTTTGAAGTTAAACCAAAAGATTTGATTTACCTACACAACGGAATATGAGTGGATGACTGGATGCATCAATTATTACGGAAAATTTTAAAAGACGCAGTTGCCTGAAGGATCATCATTTGTTATCGTTCATTTTTTTACACCGCTCTTTATATTTTACAAGCCAGATCCGTCATGTTTAATCTGTATTAAAAAAAGTTCATAAAAAACATACAATGTGTATCGTGTTTGATTATTTGGTAAGTACGAATCGGATAAAAAAGCGATTGCTCAATTAGAATTTAAATACGGCGCAATTAGAACATCTCGATGATCGCCGAATTGACATTAGCGCCGCTAGTTTCGCCATCTAACGGGTGGCAAAGTAAGCTATCAATCAGATTTTTCGCAAGGTGTGACTTGTGTGTGACTCTCGCGGATTCAATCATTTCAATGAAACGGCTATAAAAATTAAATATCGGATGTTCCAATGGTCGTGATTTGACGTGAATTAGTGCGTAATCGTTGAATGGATCCTTCTATATCTTGGTTTCAGCCAGAACAAGAGGGTCCTGCCAAACATTTGTGGCTTCGTTTGTGGCGAACTCAACAAGATTTAGATAATATGAATATTAAGGATACGGACATCGATGTCGAAGCCCTAAATACCATTAATACTCAGAATCAAGCAAATATAACAATCATGAACGGTAAAAGTGATAATAGTAACAATTTTTTGCCGCGAAGAAGAAAATTCGATAACCGTGCGAGTACAAGGGGAATGGGTCGCTATCCTGAAAAGGTTGTAGGCGAATTCGGCGGCTGCCCTTGGCGTAAAGAGAATTATAATTACGGAAGGGGTATAATTGGGTGAGTATTAATCCCTTTAAATCTTTCGCATTCCCTTTCAAAAACAATTCGCGTGTCTGTCATGAGATGGCCTTCGAACTAACTGACATTTGTATCTACACACGCCTTGAATAATTTCAACCTAAACTAAAAATACTGCAGCAATTTTAAATGCCTCCTGGCGGTAGCTAAAAAATAATAACAAGCACTTGGTACAGCGTACCTATGTTTGTATTAAAAAAATCGTGCGGTGTTATTCATCGACATAACCTCAGTTTTTGCGTAATTTATTTGCTGCATGATCCAAGTTTTACGTTTACGGTTGCGTAATCCTATAAGCAACGTGAGCGTGACGTTCTTTACAATAAGTTGACTAAATATGCTGTATCGCCTACTCTTCCTGTTCTTTATTTAGTTACTGAGATAATTTTAATTTTTTAATGCATTCCATTGTCAATTCCCCTAAACACCGCAGTACCTATTGTCATTTTCTGGCGCTTTCCAAAATGTGCCTGCTTCTGATCCATATTATTTGCCCATTGACGTTTGGATAATGAACTTGTAGTTATTTCGAGCTATTTTTTTAGGGCAGTAAGTAATTATAGTGCACGATTTGACCTACATCACATTGTACTCATAATCTACCTTGCTACGATTAATTTCCCTCTTCATACCCCTTTAAAAAGGAATTTCTTTTGCTGCACAGCGTGTCTCGTAAATAATGGTCTTTCGGGCAAAATAGGTCAGCAAATTGAAACGGGGGAGGAGCCTGTTTCACTTTGGCCATCCCCCTATGTACAATTATCAGCGATACGAATTATCAATAATCCACGCTTCCTTGATTGTCAAATGTCTACATATTCGCAAATTTTGCAATGCCATTAAATTTTAATTGTGTGGTATGCTGATGTAATCTATTTACAAACTTTTTTCCATAATTCTTTCCGTACTTACATTTTCCCATGTTTTTGCAACACGTCGTTAGTCTAACTTTTATCAGCGGTAGCTCACATAGCAACAATAAGATAAGTTTTGGATATCTAGACGGATTTTATTTTTGTTTAGCCAAGTATCCTCTCAAAGATCGCCCTGTAGGTACTTGGTACGTCCATATCATGCTTTTCTATTTACCACACCAGGATAACGTTCCGAGTTATTAAACTGCAAATTAATCGTGTATACTACTAGTAATTACATCTTTATTATTTATTTATCAGAACACAAAAGCTGATTATGCAAATTAGGCTAAATGCGTATTTAACATAATGTAAATTACCTACAATAATTTACGATAATTAATTGAAGAATAGGTAAGTTCTGGATTTAATATAGGTACCTAATGAATCAAAAATAAAGCATTTTGAGATTGGAAATACATATTTTTAAATGTCAACTGGTTTTTTTATTAAGAATTTTACAAGGATTTTAATTTCAAGCATAGATCACGTGGATGCTGCAATTCATCAATTAAAAAACGAAAAATTTCATTTTTAACATAAAACTACACCTAAGTACTTGCGTTTTGTCCGTCTGTTCGTGTGAGGGATCAGATCACGGAACTAGGGAGTTTTAGAAAGTTTGTCTCATGCCCTTCAAGGAAGCATGCTGGGTAACAACTTGGTATCGATGGCCAACTTTATATTTGTTATCAATTTCATCTAGAAAATGACAAAACGCTATTCTTTGACGAACAGAAATCTAATTATGTCATGTTTATTGTTTGTTGATCATTTATGGGCAATTTCGTTGAGGACGCACAGAATACACTACACATGCACGAGCATTTTTGTTTACCTGTTGCATTAGAACCAAGGGCTGTCAAAATCTTTAATTGTCTAGTGTCTACTAATTACGTTAGTCAGTTACTTATTCAACTTAATTTGTTTGGAAAACTTCGAAACGCATTAACTCGGAATTTATGCATTTTCAATCATCATCGTCATTTTACCCACTCTTTATTTAGCACCCTAGAAGTGAATTCCACATATCTAATATTTCACAATGCGTAACAATATAAATATGTTTTGTCTCATTCTGGTGGGATATAAATGCAGGAAGCATAAATCTACAAAATTGTTGTTACAAATTTATTTACAATTATCTATGTGGTTTAGATGCCAAATAATGGCTAGCTGAATGCGTTTCACGTCAATCGTTTACGATTACACTTTTTACTTGTTTGGTTTTTCCATCGTTTTCCAAATTTATTCTTTTGTTCCAATATTTTAACAAATAAGGTGCTTCCAAAAAATGTTCATTACATTAACATTGTTCATGAGATTGTCAATCATTAAATTTTGAGCTACCCATAGGGAAACTGTTCAGTATTTTTTGCGATAGATGACCTACAGCTTGAAAGTATACCAGGCAACCTTCGAATTTTTTGTAGTCCTCATTTTTTTTTGAGAAAAGTTTGATGCATGGTTTCGGTAACAAAATGAATGTTTCGTCATGTTGGGCGATATTCTAGTAATTTGGGGGAAAGGTGGGGGTGGGGGTAAAAACCTGTTAAATCCTTCATGGTATTCTAATGGCATTCCTTAGCGAAGGAATTAATTTGAAGCAACTACCATTCTTCTCCCCAAGCTCTTATTGAGAGTAAGTATAATTCTTCGTATCTCAAGATTGTAGTATTTGACAAAAATACTTGCAATGGGAAAAATTGATCTTCTGGATGCGACATATGTATAGTACTGTCAAAATATGAGGTACAAATATCATGAGAAAACAGAGTGTCAGAAACTCGGAATAGGGTACTCACAAAGACCTCGACAAAGACAAAATGAAACGTGGTGTAGTCGAAAGTTTTAAGTACGAATTTCTTCAAAACTCAGGATACGTACTGACAAAGTGGAAAAATGTACAGGATGGTCCAAATTGGACAATTTGTTATGGAAACGCCCTTCATTTTAAGAGATAGAAAAAAATGGACCTAGGTGTATGGAGCTTAATTTTAAAGGGAAAATCACTGGCTCAAACAGAATCCAGCTGTCTCTAATGGTTTGGCCGCTAGGGGACCTTTCTCGAATTTACGTCGATTTCTTTAATGTCCTAATTGGCGAGCTAATTGGTTTTGGGAAAATCTTTCTTAGAGCACTTTTTTATGTGGAATCCACAGTGATACAAAGTTTTTATACATGGTCTCTGATTACATTTCATACGGACCACCTCATATATTTTGGAATTTTTGAAAAGAGCGTCAAATTTCCTAAATTTTGATGTATCACTTATTATATTTATATTAAATATAATTGCGGCATTTTATACATTAAAATATTTTTATTGCAGACATCTAAGTTTCCATGGCTAACAAAAGGTGGCAGGATTTGTTTAAAACTACAATTTCTTAATTATTTATTTATATATTATATGACAAATATTTTAAATTTCAAATAACACACAAAAAACAAAGGACGTGAAAACTGATGTAAATAAACCAAATAAGTCATATGATATATAAATAAGTAACAAAGAAATTGCAGTTTTAAAATTTAAGCAATCCTGCCATCGTTTGTTCGCCATGGAAACCTAGATGTCTGCAATAAAAATATTTTACTGTATAAAATACAATAATTATTGCAAATAATATTTAATAATTATAAATATAATAAGCGAGATAATAAGTGAAGACATGACAATTTAGGAAATTTTAAGCTGGGATGGTCAGTTTTGAAAAAAATTTTAAATTACGGCGGCATTAAAAGCTTCCTTTTTTAAATCGATCCACCTTAGGACCCCAAATTATATAATAAAAATAATTCCGCAAAAATTAGCTTAAAAAAATAAAATTTTGAGGGTATAAAATTTTCTTTGGCCAAAATTTTAGGTTAGGAACAAGATACCGAGATGCGATTTTCGCGAGCTTGTTTAGGCATCATTTAGCTACTTTTTCATGAAAAAAAATCAAACCAACGCCTTTAATTTTATTGAGAAAATTAATCATTTCTGTCGGAATGTCGAACTCATTTTAATTAACCCAAGTTTGTAAAAATCGGCTCAGCCGTTTCGAAGATACAGGGTGTTCTTTACGGAAACCTTTGAATACCCCCCACCACTTCAATTTTAAAGATACAGGGAAAATTGTCAAACAAAAAAGGTTCAGATTATCGTCGTCTTCAAAGACCGGCCATTTTTTGGTTAGGTTAATATAGTGGAATTCACAGAAACATCACTTTTTTAGATTCCAGATTGCAGTTACGCCCCCTAGCGGTCATTTCAGAAACTTAAAAATATTTTCCAGGTTTTTCTCGTGGCCGTTTTAGTAATAACTTTTTTTACTGAACTTATTCCAATTTAAAGTAAGCCTTAAACAGAACTTAACTGCAAAAGCTTTTTACGCAGCTTTTGATAGCATCAAGGAGTTTTTAACAAACGATTTTTCTGACTTCCATGACACTGTTCTCTGTGATTGTGATAAATATTAATTGTAACCTGTGATATTGTTTGTCTCGAGGTTTGTCTTATATATTTTTTGCTGTAAGTTTTTTCGGCTGACGAGTGTTAAAAACTTTGAATGTATTATTTAGACAATATACGTTATTAAAAAAAATCATTAGTAAAATTATGCCTCCTCTGTGGTATAATTTAACTGATAATGGAAAGTCCTTTATGTACAGGTTTGGCTTGGTCAAAGGTCCCTCTGAAATTTAGGAGCGGTAGGTTAAAGGTCGCCAAAGTCTTTAGACACTTTTGATCTTTTATTTATTTATTTTTTTAATAAAATACGAGGTCAGCTTTATATTTTCTATAAACCTATAAACCGAGCCTATAAAGTAATAAGTTAAGTACAAGTACCGTTAAGTATAATTTTATTATTGTTTTTAATTTAAAGCATAAGTAACTGGTGCAACCTCGGGTGCAACAATCCACATTTGATATAAATAATAGTCTTGTCGAGAGTCTTGTGTTTCCTAGGCACTTTTTTTGAAGATTGTAAATCAGGTGTTTTGGTCAAAAACCATACATCAAATGCTTTATTGAAAAATCTCAAAATAATTTGACCTCGAATTTGCCGATTTTCACGTTATTTGTAGAAAGTTTACGCTTCACCATTGAAAAACAAAAATGCAAATTGGTAAATGCTTTGAAGTTTGAATTATGCTATGGGAGCAACAACATAATTACGTTAAATTAGTTTTTGGCTAGTTCATCTTGCTCCTTGGCTCTTCCTGGTCAGAGACCAACATAGTCGCCAACCGATTCCAAATTCTGCTTCCGTAGTACGTTTTTTCTGTACAGTAAACGTTAACTACATATATTCGTTATTTTAAATGAAATTAATTCATAATCTTAAATGCTAACAAACAGCCCTTATTTTAAATTATCAAACCAAACCCTAATGAACTCCTTTTTTAAAAAGTGCTTTAAATTATCTTTTGAATGTTGATTATAATACCTATAATTGTACACATAATCAGTACGTCCATGAATACAATGAACTACGAAATCTTATCACACAAATAAAATCTAGACATGCTCCTTGTTATTAACAATATATGACAAACAAGAGGTAGACAAATTACAATGGTTATAAGGAAGAAATAATGCGCTTAAATTGAAAACTACTTTAACATTAATATCTTATTTACTTTCTTCTTAAAAGCGAGCTTAAAAGTTACATAAACCAGGAATTACAAAATGATAAAATTGAGTTTTGTTCAATTTTTATGAAAGTAAAAGTTGCCTCAAAAGTGTTTATTTTCAGATTGGGCCCAGATTAACCAACATCATATTATTATCTTCTAAGATAATCACCATGACGAGACAAAAAACATAGATACCGGGTATAGTGTTATCGCCTTTTGAAAAAATAAATTCATTTAAGAGAGGCATTCAAGTTGACTTGCTTATCATTTCTGCTGCCGTCGAAGTAAACGGATTTTTTTACTGATTACTTAAAAATACCACCATTAGATGACATCAATTCCATAGATATATTTAGATACTTACTTACGTAAAAAAAACATTTATGAATTCTGTACATCTTTTCATTACTTTTTAATCAAATCGATAAGAAAAGAACGAAAACTGTAGGTGCATGATGTATCTAGTTATAGCTATGACCTCGGCTATGACATATTGTACGTCAGTATCCCTATGCTATGGGAACATACTTAGCAAGTGTTAAGTCATCATTGCCATTTCTAAAACTATCAAGATTGCATTCTTAAACATTGAGCACAATTGTTTGTTTATTATAGTATGAGTTGAGATAAGAGTGTTATAAACATTGCTTAGCACAAGCTACAAATAGCTTGCATGTTATGGCAACAACTACTATTCGAAAAGGTTCTATGCAAATGGCATCAAAGGTTTTGATTTATCACTACCACGTGTCATTTTGACAATCATGTTATGCTGTGTTCATTGCATAATTTTGATTACCCAGAGAGAACTCCTGTAAATCCTGCAGATCGCATTTTTGCAAAAATCATCATTCAGAATTAGCACTAACTTTCCCTTTAAAAGTTGATTTAAGTTTAAGAAAATATTTTTACCAAAATTTGTTTCTTATTCGCATTTGTTTTTCAGGCTGCACGAAGAAATAGAGCACTTTTATGAGTACATGTCACCTACCAAAGTGGAACATCGGATACGAGGGGATGTAATACATCGGATTGAAAAGATAATTGTGTCAATGTGGCCAGATGCTCAGGTCCAAGTTTTCGGATCGTACAGGACTGGTCTATATTTACCTACAAGCGATATTGATTTAGTGGTTATAGGTAAGGCACTTTTTATTTATAGTAGAATTTTCCTTAGTCTGCGCGAACTTCATCACTAAGTATGTTTCATGTTTCATAACAACATGCAATCAATGGAAGAGAATACGTGTAGGCAGCCATACGGACAGTGCTGCATTGTGAGTAGGATACCCATTACATCAGTTACTAAAAAAATGTTTTGGTAGTTATTTGTAATAGGTTGTCCATACCGCGATCTTTTACTAACAAAGTGGACAATATTATTTGGATGTAAAGGAAAAATCTTTTTTTATTTTTTTTTTGTAATAACATCGCCCGCAGTACTTAACAGCAGAAATCGAGAAGCGACTGCAATCTTGATTTACCTCATACTCACAATCAGAGCCACCGTTACCTTTATACCAAAATGACGGACGTTTCGCCGCACTTTCGAATCTGGGTAGCAGTCGGTGTTAAAATCGCCGATTTTTTTTAAGTGAAACTTCTTTAGGCCCGGTAGTAGACCAGGTAGGGTAAGTCAAATGCTACGAGCGGTCACGGTTACGAAAATAGCGAAACGCTCTGAGGGGAATGAGGGTACAGGTGCCCCATTCCTCATGTCTGCACAGTGGAAGTCGGGCAACACATGAAATGCTGAGAGGGGAATCTTTCTCAGACAATGCGCTGCCTTGTGAGTAAATGAGAGTAAAAAAATGTGGAATATTGACTTACATTTATATCAGATTCGTTTACATTTTAAACTAGGGAAGTTTCACTTCTGTCATATGTAGGTACTTGTGTAGTTCCTACGCAGATTTTTTTTATACACAAACGGAAAAGGAAATTGAATAAAAATTCATAATTTTGTTAGTAAAAGACGAGAACATATAAAATATGTTACACACACAACGACGCGATGTCAGGGAAACCTTCTTCGGGACAAAAACCCTGGCATAGCCCACACAAATACACGAGCTAAATTAACAAACACAACAAACGCAAAAGAAAATTCATAAAACATTTCAAATTATGTAACAATAAAAATCAGGTCATGAATTGCAAGATTCTAGGAACATCATATTTTTCCAAAAACATCAACGTGCATTTTTGCAGGTGGTTGTTGAACGTCGCAAGGGCCTAACTTGTACGCTGATCTTCCTGTTTTCGCCCTGGTCAAATTCGAACCACAGCCTTTTTACCGAAGAAGCGTTCCTTTTGGATCCTTCCATGAATTTTAATACACCACAGGCGCCGTTCACTAGCCATTTTGTTTTCTGTGCCACCAATCTAAAATATCTTTGTTGTTATGCTCTACCAGTGCATTTCCACATATGAGGTGTAACTGCATCAATGGTTTGTTGCCACATATCTAAACACTTTTCTTTGCCATAACCTTTCCACCAAGTGTTTCGCTTATACTGTTTAAAAATTCCCTATATATTTACGGGATTGAAAACGCAATGGTATTCAGGCAACTGTAGTATCATCGCATGTCCATTTTCTAATGCCATCTCATTAGCAGCATACCATTTTGAAGGTTTGTTTCTGAAATAACAAATTTTTGCTGAATGGGATTTACGGAAACAAATCTCGAACTATTGAGACGCGAATTATCAAGGCTTCACTGTATTCGCAACTTTTCTTAAGGAACTTTTGAACCCGTGTAACCACTCACCTCTCTTATTGCTGCAGCTGGTAAAAGTTTTTTATCTGCTAATGTAGGAAAACGCGATAAAGTAAAAAAACTGCTAGAAACAGTTTTCAAATTTGACTTGTCATAATGTAAACGTAAACTACCACAATTTTGTTTGACAGGTAACCTAAAAACAAAAAAAAAACCCTTTTTGCTGAAGTTTTTTTGTTAATAATACGTTGGCATTCCCCTAAAACAGAATTGATAACGTGCGCGGCGACTAAGGAAAATCCTACTTTACATTTGAATTATTTAATTAATTTACATAAAATTGGATATCATTCGTTTTAAGTGTGTTAACTGTTATTAACATAACTCTCTTATCTCGTAAAAATATTTGACTTTATTAACAATGGCTCGCAATAAAAAAAACAAATAATTGTAAGGTTTTTTTGTTTCAGGTAAATGGTCATATTTGCCACTGCGTACCTTAGAGAAAGAATTTTTGGAACATGACATTGTCGAAGTAGGTGGCATAAAAGTTTTAGACAAAGCGTCCGTACCAATAGTAAAATTAACCGATAAAAAAACCGAAGTGAAAGTGGACATATCTTTTAATATGTGCAATGGAGTAAAATCCGCCGAACTAATCAAGCGTTACATGAACGAATTTCCGGTGTTACCAAAATTAGTGTACGTTTTAAAACAATTCCTATTAGAGAGAGACTTAAACGAAGTGTTCACCGGCGGCATTTCTAGTTATAGTTTAATTTTAATGTGCATCAGTTTTCTACAATTATATCACAGGCCGGCGGACCAGCTTAGAAATGCAAATTTAGGTGTCTTACTCATAGAATTTTTAGAACTATATGGCCGGAAGTTTAATTATATGCAGACTGGTATTCGAATACGAGACGGAGGAAGATATATCAACAAAGACGAGATGCAGAAGGACATGCTTGATGGACACAGGCCGAGCTTGTTGTGTATTGAAGATCCTCTCCTCTCAACAAACGATATTGGAAGGAGTAGTTATGGAGTTTTGCAGGTATTTTTTTGCACTTTTATAGGCAACTTTGAAGTGAGCATAGCTGAGCTTTAAGATTGTTTTTGGTCAGCAAATTTAGTGCCATACTTCCTTTGTCTAATACCACTGATCACTTAATTGTTCTATTGTACAGGGTAGCAGCTGCCAACTGCCTCTCTCCCCCTACGCAGTTTTGAAAACTGTACAAAACTTGTATACTACAACTGAAAAGGGCTAGGTGTCAGGTCAGCAGAATGTTTCCTTTCCGTTTGTTAATTTGCATAAGCAATATATTTCCTTCTTTTCAAAATACATTGCACAGTTAAGTAACATGAATTTTGTCCATCGAAATATTTTTTACATTCACACAACTGGTTGTCTAATTGAAGATTTGTTTAAAAAAATGCAGTAAATCATAACGGAATTAAATATTTCTAGAAAATGTAGGATGACAGAGCAAAGGGGCCCTGGATTTAGTGGAGAAATTAAATCCTGTAAAGTAGTTTGCGGTGTAAGGGAAAATCAAAAAGGTAAGTACTACTACTTTTCTTAACAAGTGTCATTAAAAATAACTATTTTTAGGTATGGTATTGACGTTTTGGTGAGATTTGGAAAAATGGTACACAAGACTAAAGACCCAAATCAATATTTGTCTTGCTTCATTGCATACGTTAATATTTTCAAACATAAACCACATTTGATTACAAGCAGTTTTAGTGTACCACACTGTTTATAATGAATTTGCTCAGAAAATTCACAGCAGAAAACTGGTACTCACTTTGTTTGTATGTCAAAAACCCACATTTTGATTATTAAATACTTGCAACAAAAATATTCTTTCAGGAATAATTTGATAAAAAGTGATTAGTGGTTGCCATTTAGATTCATGTATTTATGTATGTAGCAATGGGTGAGGCGCTAAGCTACAGTAATTCTTGTCCTCCATGTAATTTTTATTCATTCTAAGATGTCTATAAAATTAGTCACATATTTATAAATGTAGAAAACATAGTTTTTGTGTTGTTTTTACTGTCTGATCAAAATTGACTCATTGTCAACATCAACACATGTAAAAATTGTTGTTGCTATGTATTGCTCATAGAGGGCGCTACGTGTATTTCTCCCCCATGGTGTACCTATGTAATAGATTCTAAATGCAATTTAGGATATGAATCTTCCTTCCTTGTCTAGGGGAGCTTAGTGTGCCAATGAACGTTTAGTGAGGTCACTTTTGCTAACACCCTGTAAAATTAAACCCGCATCCTTTTTCTCTATAAAGGGGAAATGAGTTGCAATTTTTGAAACTGGGTCTTCTTACTTATAGGAGGCCCTCATATTTTCAATTTTTTTTGTAAATCATTGTAAACTATGTTCTGTGCTTTTTGCAGGAACATAAGTCATAACCCCATATTTATATTTATATGTATAAAGGCGGCTACAGACATGGGAAGTTTGACGAATTCCAAATAGCAAATGTTTGCCATTTGACAAATAGCTTTACACACATATGAGTTAAAGCAAATGTTCTGGATTAGCCAAGTTTCAAAAATTTCCCGTCGATTGTCGGTAAATAAGCACACATCAAAGGGCTGAAAATGTTCGTCAAAAAGCAAACTTGTGGCTGATACATATATGCGGGCTTTGCAGAAGTTGCAATTGCGACCACCTTGATGACTAATTATGCGTATTAAAGAATATGAATCTGTTATTTTGTGCACATTTGGGCACAATTCATTTATTATATTGTACCCATGATACTTGTAGTATCATGTATTGTACCTATTGCGTGCGCGATGGAGTGGACGAACGAAACGGAGATCGAATTTCTAGAACTGTACGAAAAGGAACCCATAATATGGGCTCTTAGTGCTGTCTTCTTTTTTTTAAATAATAGATATGCACTAGTTATAATATAACAGTAAATATAGCAGCTACAAATTCTACCTCCATCGTGAAAGCAAACTAAAGTACATATACTACGCAATAAGTTTGAAGTTCCCGTTTTGATGTACCATTTGCCAAATAGGCACATGTGTGTATATTTATACTCGTGATTTTACGACTAACTGGACAAACAGTTTGGCGATTGACAAACATTTGATTTTGACAACTTTTACATGTCTGTAGCCGTCTTAATAATGACAAAAATAATTAAATGATGTCTCCTTTGATTATTATATTAGCTGTTTAGTGTTAAACTTATTTGTGAAACCAATCCTGCTAAAGGAAGAAAAGTAGTGTTCACAGTTTGTTTTGATAACCAGGACACTTGATCAGTTTAGTTGGGAATTACATACTGAGGGCGAAAACCATGTATAAATAGTATTAAAACTGAGGCCACCCATACTTTTTACAAAAGAAATAGGTGGGAATATGTTTATTTAAAATAATAATAAAATTGAAAAATATTTTCAACTTTCCCGCATATTTCTAAGTAGTTCTGCTTTTGTTCGAGTATCGGCTACCTACGTTTTATGCAATCTTTGTAATTGATTCATGTGCAGGCAGTAGAGAACTAGCTTACAATCGCCATGACACAAATGGAAAATTAACTCAAGATTATACAATTATATTGTAGTTTGCTTTACTAAATATGGTTTAATTGTTTTCTAAATTGACCAGGTTTTAATAAGGCATGGTATGCATTTAGCATGTCTTTTTGAGACACATTATTCGCCAACATGCGCAACACAGATTTTTGTTAAATTTGATAGCAACATTGCTAATGTGGATGTAAAAGATAGTTTACTGTCCTGGTAAAATCCTAGAAACAAAGCTTTTTGGTTACATTTAGTAATAGTTTTGATTGCACTACCCATTTAGCAATTTTATGTTGGCCTCCGAAACACGTAATAGAATATTTGCATTAGTAGCACCTGCTAACAGAGTAGTGTCAACGACATATAGGACACAGTCAGTACCTTTTAACAGAGACAGTGGCATATGAATAATGTAAATACGGAAGAGAAAAGGTCTCAGGACACTGCCTTGAGCTATTCCATTTTGTTATGGTGTGTGGGAGGGATGATGAAACAATTGTGCGCCTACTCGATACAGTTTTTATTTGTCATATGTACCTTACCAACAGGTAGTTTATCACATGAACATATCAAAATTTCATAAATATTGCTCCATAAGTGAGAAAGTTTTTACATGCGCACATCGCAAATCTATAAGTATCCACCAGATTCACTTCTATGCGAAATATCTGTAAATAAGATTTCATTACATATCTTAGAAAATAACGAAGTTAGGATGCGCTTTCACAGAAACGAGAACTTAGTTGACATTCTTTTTTCTTTTTGTCCATCTTGAGTGTTAGAAGTTACTAAATAAAAAAAAAAACGCTGCCGTCTATAAGTTTTCAGTTTAGTTGTTATTTTTGTCAATCCGAACAATTCACTAATCTGAACCACCTCTGGTTATTATGAAACATTTTTGGTTACAGTGCCCTAGCGTTGGACTTTAAGTGACCGTCATTTGTATATTCACTATTTGTTACTATTTATGAGAAAGGTGTGTGATTTTAGGGTTCCATAAGAAATGGTTATTTTTTGAATATCTTGACAATCCAATGTGCAATTGTTTTTTTATTCGACCTTTGCAATCGCAATTTCTTTGAACACATTGTCTAATATGCTTTTGCAAGTCAAACGTCTCAATGTAACCATGAGATAAATGTCTTATTAGAGGTCCAAAATTGGACTTTGTCGCAGTAAAATATCTAATTTGAAAAATTTGTGCTTTTTGCTTGGAATTATGTCTCACTTCAAGGTGTAATTTGAACCAGCGGTTTTTACAGCAGTAAATTGAAATTGTTTGCTTTCCAGGTGAAGAGAGCGTTTGATTGTGCATATGTAGCACTAACAAATGCGGTAAATCCTTTAAATATGTACAGAGACTGCACACGGTATTCAATATTAAGTCGGATAGTGCGTGTTACTGACGATGTAGTACGCTATAGAAGATGGGTAGAGCAACAGTTCAGACGCTTACGTTCACCACCACTGGGTTCACCATCATTAAAGTATTCAAAAGTAATAGGCGCCTCACGTTCACCGCGATCTTTATCGAGTAGTGGCTCAACATCTAGCGTCGATAGTGCAGCTAGTTCCGATGTAAGTATTTACATATTTTTTGACATTTCAGTAACATTGCACTAATCGCCCAAAATAACAATCCCGTAATAAATGTTTTTCAGATAGATTTTTTTGGAGAAGTGGTTTATAATTTTGAATATTAAAAAAATGATAAAGAAAATCATGGAAAAAAAAAGAAATTAGAAAATATTTCCTATTGGAAATTGAAAAACATTCTATTGAACTGGCTTCAGAAGATGTCGACGTAAATAATTTTTAAAGAGAATCATTCAGAATATACACCATCATTTACAGATTGTCTATTGGTAGCAGATTTTTAAATAAATAAATCATCCCCACATTCTGTAGCATTATTTCACTCTTCGTTTTTAGATGCTTTAATTTGTGTTTTCATTTTCTAGGGGTCCGATCCGCCATCGCGTGGTATGTCGCCCAATAACAATATTCACCATAAAACACAACAAAAGTCACATCTACGCAACACTGTAAGAACATTCAAAAATAATAAAAATCAAAATAACCAATCAAATTTTATTAATCAAAATTACGTTAAGCATAAAAGACCGATAAAAAATAACAGATGTCATATAGAAATTGGATAGTTCACAGTGATCTCTAGTAATAAGCTAGCGTTAGTGGTGATAGAGATTAAGTGGGGTGCTCAACTCTGTAAGTTAATCAAAATGAAAATACAAAAAATTTTAAAATTAAGACGAATTTGGTTTGTTTTTAGGACATAAATTTACTTAATTCTTCCTTTTTGTCCAAATTTTGTTTCCAATAAACCGATTGTAAACAATATTTCAGAACAAGGTGAGGATCTGCATGCCATATTAACACTGAAGAGAGCACCGTACTGAAAACTCTATTTAGTCATTTTATGCCATATTTTTTTGTCTGTAATGCGTTTGTTGATGTGAAATTTCTACCAAAAATACGGCGCGTGTGAGTGATTTGTCTGTTATTCATTCAAACTGCCTTGCAGTTTATTCCTGTCACCAAAATTTGTTTTTTAGCCGCTTAAATTTTACCGCCAGGCTTGAAGTAACAAGACACAGCAAGTGTTGCGACACTTTTTTCTGACAGTCACAATAATCCTTTTTATTTGGTATATCATTAATGAAATGCTGGAGAGTGCGAACATGTTTTTATAACAGCCTCTAATGCGTATGTAAGCGTGTGTATTGGAATATACAACCAGAAACTAATATGAAGCATATCTTTTGGTATATCGAAGGTAATTTAGTTTATCCTCTAATTTGGGACTTTGGTAAAAACAGACATTGGTTTTTGAATCCTAAATATCTACTTATGTATATCTGATTACGAAATGTGATAAATTATTCTGCTTAATTGTAAAAATAAAAGTAAAATTTATTGTAAATGTTCATTAGCGTTAAACTACAGTTTAATCTCGTACCCCATGGGATTGGCAACATTTTTCAATTTTTTGTGTGCGATCCTCAATATTTTACTGTTTATTTTAATAGTTAATTCAGAATGCGATTATTAGTTGCGAATGAATTTTTTTATTTAATCTTTTAGTTTTCTTTAAACCGTTGAAATAGATTTCTCTTAAATTTGAAGATAATAAATAGACTGAATTTTGGCAAGACATTACATTAATTTTTTTCATTGCGTTGATATTTTTTTAAGTGAACATATATTTCCAGTTTTTGACACTTAACAATAAAAACTGTTGTAGAATTAGGTATTTATATTAGTTTATAGTTTCTAAGACATTTCTGTTAATCGCGTTTAATTTTATATTGTGTAATCTTATTGAAAAATTTTTAATGGGAATAGACATAAGTCATACTGCAGTACAAAGATTAAAAAAAAGTAAAATAAGTCAAAAAATAATAAAAACTCTGTAAAATTTCTTACTAACTAGCGCCTAGACTTTCTCTGTACAATTTATAGAAACATTGTTAATATATTTTATATTCTGGCGCTCCATTTGGTTGTTTCCTTAACTACCTTTTCCATTGCCATACACAATCTCTACAAATGGTTCGAAATACAAGGAGATGGTCTGCAGTCGTTTTCTAACTTTCTAAATTCTGGAGTCAAAAGATGACCTCCATTTCCTGCAGGTGGTGGTATTAAAACCACAAGCTTGCTTATTGCCTTTTGCTCCGGTTGCTATTTATTCTTAAGATGCCAATATGAACTCATAAGTGAACTTACAGGGGCCTAATATCTGTAAGGTCATTGTATGGGTAACGTTTGGAAAGTGATTGTTTTGTTGTCAATGTCAGTGAGGCATTTATTAGTTGACAGTTTTTCTCGTCCAATTGCTAGGCTACAGATTTTCATTACCTAAACAACCCAAATTTACTCGGTAAAATACAAACCTCTTGTGCAATTATAAATGATAAAAAATTAAGAACCCGTACCTACTTTTGTTTTCTATTTTATAAATTCAGAAACAGTAAAAAATTAAAATTTAAAAACTGTTGCGTTTAGAAGGTCAGTAATGCCTTACGGCATTATGAAATCGCACAAAAGCCTTTAGTTTTACGTTTATTATTTAGAAAATGTATTATACTACAGAAAAAGTAGAAATGGTGATGTAGTTTTATTCTGGAAATAGCGCTCGACAAAATACCAAGATCATCCAATTCCAAGCAATACGACAATTACTTGAGTTTAACATAAATTTGAAGCGACCAGCACATTGATCTCAAACTCCCATGGCATTACTGATTTTCGCCAGTTTGAAGATATCCAATTTTTTTGGGTTTCAAAATTCAAAAAATTAAATGTTATGTATGCTTGGAATCTTGTATGTATTCGCAATTTTTTTCTCTACAAAAAACCTAAATAGATTTTATCACAATTTTAAATTAAATTTTAGCACAAGAGGTTTGTATTTTACCGAGCAAATTTGGGTTGTTTAGGTAAAGAAAATCTGTTGCCTAGCAATTATACCAGAAAAACTGTCAACTAATAAAAATGCGACACCGCAGGTGGAGCATTTTTAGGTTGACAGTTTTTCGAGTTCAATTGCTAAAAGGAAACAGATTTGAGTTGCAACAACCCAAATTTACTCGGTTTAAATACAAACCTCGAGTGTAATTCGGCAGGACAATTTAACGAACAAGAAATTCACCAAACTAATCAATTATTGACAGACGTCAAACTAGTCATATGGGAAAGGATAATGCGATAATTGGTTCGAAAATGAATAGTGAAAAAACCAGCATTTGTCGCTGGAAAAGATGCAGGTAACTTTTGCCGCTGTTACAGTGACAATTGCACTGCGGCTTATGCGATTTTTTATACATGAGTTGAAATAAATAACTATTATATAACAAGAGCGCGAAGTTCAATTTCGCGCATTGAGACTGAAGGTATTTTGACGAGGCGAAGCCGAGTTAAAATATCAGTCAAATGCGCGAAATAACTTCGCGCTAGCGTTATATACAATATTTTTTCTACAACTGAACCGATTGTTAATTAAATTTGCTGTTTAAGTTCAACTTTGTCCCGTGCGCGAAATACTTTTTTTCACTGTTGACGATTTCGCGCACGTTGTCAAGAGCAACTTTACTTATTAATTAACCGATTAAAAATCTAGTACTTTGCGTTTCGAAATCCGTCAGAAAATGACAGGTTTTTTTGACAGTTGTAGAAAAAAGTATTATATATTATTTAGAACAGCGAATTCAACATAAAGAAAGACCAAATTACTAAAAACGGTTTCCTAATATAACAATTTACAATAAATGTTCGAATACGTCACCATTAACTGCAATACAGTAACCAAGTCGATCATAAAAGCCATTTCGAACTGCTGCTAATTGATAACTGGATATCTTTTTGTTTTAGAAAATTCCATGGCATCGCAGATTATTGAAAAAGATGGGGGTTTTATTTTTCCAATTTTCCGTCTTTATTAGGCAAAAAAAAATTAATACGGTTGATTGACGTAACACATTTTTTTCTACAAAAAACCTAAAATAATTTGGGGAGCCAATAATCGCATGAATTTTACATTGAAATCCCTATGATGCGTTACGCAAGTCACCACCCTGTATACACTTTTTATCCAATGGTGCAAATAATTTCGAAATTCCCGCACTAATTTTGAAAATTTGACACCAATCAGAGCAGTGGAGTGACCTAACCTCTTTTGGTTGTTTTTAGCACGTGCCATAATTATCATTATTTGGGAAGTGCCTTCAAAATGGACAGTAATTCAGTTAACATAGACGCTGACAACTTCGAACCTGCAAAAAAGGGTGCAAAGCGTCGTGTCAATTCTGTCGGTGATGGATCTATGGAGGTGGATTCTCATAATGGTATCGAAGGTCGAAGTCGCAATAAACCACCACGTGCAAAGCGAAGTAAAACAACCTCGTTTTCTGAAACTAAAGAAAATGTACGTAAAATTCCTGTACCATCTCACCGATACCCACCGTTGAAAGAAAAATGGTTGAAAATATTTTCTCCGATTGTGGAACATCTGCAATTGCAAATTCGCTACAATGTCAGAACTCGAAATGTAGAAATACGTACGTGTGAAGAGACTAAAGACATAGCTAACTTGCAAAAGGCAGCCGATTTTGTTAAGGTAAACATCCAATCTTTCACCGCTGTAAACGTCACATTTTCATTGCAGGCATTTGTGTATGGATTCGATGTGGAAGATGCCCTAGCATTACTTAGATTGGACGATTTGTTTATTGAATCATTTGAAATTAAGGATGTAAAAACTCTGAAAGGTGATCATCAGTCGCGAGCGATAGGCAGATTGGCCGGTAAAAGTGGCCGTACAAAGTTCACAATTGAAAACGTTACCAAAACAAGAATTGTCCTAGCAGATAGCAAAATTCATATATTAGGCAGTTTTCAAAATATTCAATTGGCACGACGAGCCATTTGTAATTTAATCATGGGTTCCCCACCGTCTAAAGTATATGGACAATTGCGGAATGTAGCTGCTAGGGTTTCTGAGCGTGTTTAAATACTACCATACTTGGTAATTATAATTTATTGTGTATATTTTCGTTAGCATTAAAATTGTAATGTATTTCTTGGTATTATTTCTAATCGAGGATTTTTGGGAATTCTGTGGTATTTATTTTACATTACCCAATGCTTGTTAATCATGGCAAATAGGACAGGTTCTGGTATGCCAGTAGTATAGCAGTGTAAGCTTCAATCTACAAGGTGTCTCATACAGTGTACGTGGCACAACAAAAACGAAATTTGTAGGAAACAATGTACTTAAAGTTACTTAAAAGTGTGCATCCCTGTCATCGTTGGAGAGGGCTCTTACTTTCCTACATGCGTACGGTTTACTTTTAAAATTTGAGGGAGTCCTTTGAAGGATACAGGGTGTCAAATGACAAATAATGCAAATGGATATTCAACCTTTTACGTGAATAAACACATTCATAAGAAATATTAGCTACACAAAACAATCCTTTTGTTTTGTTTCCTGAGCCCTACAGTCAAGTGTTCTTCCAAAAGAGTTGGCGTAAACCTGCATGGCCTTGTAGATTTAATGCGCGTTTTAAATTAACATAGGAAATTAAAACAATCTAATCTAAACTTAACGGGACTGAAATTCTAAAATATTAATTTGCGATTTGCCCCCGTCTTCTAAATGGGATGAGCTTTTGGGCGCAAGAAAGACAATTGAAATATCTTGAAGGGAACGGTTGCAAACGGCGAATTATTCACAGCTTCTGTGACACAACTTTGCGGTGCCTACCTAGCTGACACCATGTTGCATATTTAGTCGATTTCATATTTGACATTCAAAAAGTTGCCAAACTTCACATATGTTAAGGCGCAGATAGAGTAGCAAGTTACTTGCGACTATCTCGCGCGAGAAACTTCCACATGTATTATACTGAGTAATAAGAGTCGCGATAAACTGTCCGGCAAGTTGGGTGAGCCATTGCTGTCGCAATTTCTCACAATGGTGTTTACACTAGCAGCTCTTTTAACTTCCGTAAATGCGGCGTTTTGGCGCCAATAGGGACATTGTGTTCACGGACAGATGCACACCATCGACTCCCTTTGCTCTGTTGCTTAATAATTTACCCTGGGTAATGTGCCCTAACAAAAAAAAAAACTGATTGAGTAAAACCAATTATATTTATTTATACAAATGTCTTGATAAATATGTGTATTTTTATATTTTATAATATCTAGTATCAACTACCCTATATCGTCAATTCAGTGCTGTTTTTTGCAAGTCTGAAATGTACAAAATTATGGGTACAGCACAATGTGCAAGTGATAAACAAACCTTGCAAATTGCGCCAACATAGTGGAGTTGAGCACAGATTTAGTGTACAAGTACTATTTCCACAGGAACTTGTGCCATCTGGCGAAAACTTCATTCTGAGTCGGCAAATAATATCCTCAACTGATTATTTTGCTTTGCATGATAATGGAACAAGCTGCTAGGTATAGGTACCGGTCGGTAAAAAGAGACTAGCTGTTCGCTTGTTACCCTTATTAGGTCATATAGTTCATCAGAACCAGAAAATGTTGAACTCTGACATGGGTCATGAGTCTCCAGGGAGTATGTAAATATAATTTAGAAGTACCTTTCCCATTTTCCTAGACATCCTTTATAATAGTTTCGTGTGCACACCTTTTTGTGATTCCAAAATATTGGATTAAATTTTAAAATTCCAGCTACAGGTGAGATAACACAGATTTATATTTTACAATATATAGCTAACAAGGAAGACTAATAATAGTCGCTTGACATTAATTACATTAGGTTTCTGCCTAGCCTAGTAGGTACTTTTATTTACAATAATAATGTGCAATAATTAGGAGTGTTCCTTCATTGATTATTTAATTCGTTGAAACTCTAGATGAAAGATGGGGTTACTCTGTAATAAGAAATGTTTGAAATGATTTCTACTATAATCAAAAGAGATAATTGTTTTACAATTATTTAAACAACTTTATCCGAGACTTTATCCATGATGGTGTACCTGATAAAAGTTTGAGACACACATCTTGAACAAAGTGTCAAATGATAAGGTATTCTGGATATGGATACACTACTGATACAACATATCAATGGACTGAAGATATGTACATGTTACAGATTTTCCCTTAAGGGAGTTAACAGAATACATTATCAACACCCTAATCATAGGACAATAATTCATTGATAAGATTTGATGTTTTGAGTGTATATCTAATAATCCATAAAATTTCATTACCAATCATCCACAGATTACCACATATACAGAGATGCCATAATTAAATTTGCATTAGCATTACTGTACCTTAGCAACATGGTATTGTGTAGAATTTCTATCTAAAAAATTGTACAAATAACAATGTTGTTACAAAATGTGCATGACAAAATTTAGCATGTTGTCAGATGGCCTTTATACAAAAATAAATTAAAAAAATTATGACTTTCATTATGTGCAGGGGAAAACTAATCTTTTTCAATCACGTTTGTTCTACACAAGAAATGTCGCATCACTGCTTGTTCTCCACAGTTCGATCGTTACCATCCTGATTATTCTTTCAACCCCTACCTTTGCATGGCTCGCACTTGTTCTTTGACTTCCTCGATTTGCTGTGCAGATCGCATAATAGAATCATACTGATAGCCAAAATGTATATGCAAAAGTTGCAATTTCTTCAAGTTAGCTTCACTGTTATCCAAGGCGTGCTCTTGTAAAGCGAAATTACGAGCTGAATGCATTATTATCTATAATCAACTGATGTAAAGTGATGGAACAACTATCTAAACCAATACCTCGCTACTTTTTGACCCCTTAATGATGTGCCTTGCTAGGGAAGCTACATTGTTGACGTTGACTTGCACTCGATCAGCTAAACGCATTTTAGAATCGGCAAACAGAGATCTAGCGCTTGTACTACTCGCAGATGCCATATTCAATTCTTCTCACTGAAACGTTAAGTTTATTATTTCAAAACTTTTGATTCTAATATACATTATGATAAAATAATTCTAACCTTCAATTAAATCTAAAAACAAAACAAGATCGATGACTGTCAAGTGTCAAATTTGTATTTCAGATGACATGACAACAATGCAGAGGAGTCAATTTTCATACAAGGAACTACTCTCATACATTTTATAAATTAAAACAATAGAATGATTAATTTTAAACGTCTCGCCAGGAAAGATTGCCGGTCACAGAACACTTGAACTTCCGGGATAGTGTCGTGTCAATGTTGAACAAAAAAACTTTTCGTTCAACATTGACACGATTCTATTCCGGAAGTCGCTCGCATCTTAAGAAAAACATAGATTGTAGATCGACACAAGGTGTGCTGTGACTGGCAATCTTTCCTGGCGAGAGTAATATGTTGAAAGCAAACAAGTTGACATAGTGAGTGAGTGATAGGTTGGATCGGTAAAATCAAAGCAGGATATACTTATAATTACAAGCCGTGCAGATGTAAATTTGGAAACGATAAACTGAATATAAAACGGTCCTTATTACATACATTAATTTATAACATCAGTATTAATATTTATCACTATACTTGCAATCACATGTATAATACCTACTTAAATAAAATTGAAACAGAAGCGTGGATTTCATTCACAAATTTTACCACATGGATGTTAAAAACTGGCGTTAGATACAATTCAATTTACTTAATATATCAAATATTAAACCTTCTCGAAAAAAAATTTTGAAGGCATATACAACTTCACAGAAAAAGTTTGTCACACTTGTTTTAATTCCTTATCATGGCAAATACATTGTGATGTCTCGATAACGTTCTAGAAGGTTCGCAACAATATGTTGAAATTACCTTCGAATTGTTTTTGAGGTATCTATTATTTGTAACGAAGCACCCGGAATTTCTGAGTGGAGTTTGCCGTTTACGAGGACCACCCGGTATAGTACCGATTGGTTAGGGGCTTCGTTACGCAAGAAAACCATGATTTCGAGAAGTTTCCGCGATGTCATGAAGACAAGGGGATACCGTAATTAATTAACCCGTTAATGTTGGAATTTTGGAATTATTTTTGTAACTCTTAAACGAAGGGTCTTGTTCTGGAGAAGACGAAGGACAATTAATATGTTTTGGTTTCAGCGCCGTTAATTGTTTATAAGCTGATTTAGTTCCCAATAATAAGTAAAAGCAAGGATAGAACAAGTTCGAAGCGAGTTGTTTTGCCCGCTATCAGTTAGTGTCGTGCCTGCAAAAATTAAATAACCGCCACCTGCTCTGAGTCCGAAAACATACCTACAGTTAATTAATGTAATAAGTCCATTCCATGAGCTTTCGTTGTGTCTTTTAAGTATGTATAATTAGCATGCACTAATTAAATGAATTATATTTAAGGAGCGCCAATTGAGACGATTGTGGTATCAAACTTTGCGCACTTAATTAAGGAATCGATTCCCAGATGTTCGGGAATTTTAGGACGAACAGGAGCCGAGTAATTAATTCAAAATGGAATTGATTTGGTTTCGATTTCGTATTGTATACGCGACGGTTTGGATTTTCTGTGTTCCACTTCTACCAAATTGGGTTACCTTTATTAGGCCGGGCGCTAAAGGGTTTGAGCATGCACTGGAAGTCTAACGCAGTTTGACTTTTGATTATTGTTGGGAGCATATAGTAGATGCAAAAAATCGATGTCGTCGCATTTCCGCGGTGGGCATCACATGAGGGGGAGGGGGCAAAGTCGCGCGCGTGGCGATTCACTTTATCCTTTATAACTCAAAGACGGTAATAGTTGGAGCACTGCTTGAAGTGGCTATTTACAGCTACTTGTATTACCTACAAAAAAGGCCCTAAGGATAAAAGTCGTACCTCTAACTGTTTTGTTACAAATAAATTATTTTGGAATATACAGGGTGTTACACGACCGTTCGAAAAAAAAAAATCGGGTTGTAGAGGGCATCAAAACAAGCACTTTTTCCAAATAAACCGAGGGTCCAACGTGTTTCGTTTGGGAGCCACCCCCCAAAGAGTGTTGAAATCTGCATTTCTTCTTTAATTTTTTTCTCAGCAACCATAAGAGTTACAAAGTCGGGTGGCATGTCTTTGAA